CTTCACTGAAGGGGTTCTCAGGCAATGGAATCGAGCTGCATAGGGAGGTGGTGGAGTCACCAGCCCTGGAGGTGTTTAAAAGACAGGTAGGTGAGGTGCTCAGAGAGATGGTTTAGTAGTGGACAGGTACGGTTGGACTCGATGATCTCAAAGGTCTTTCCCAACCAAACAATTCTATGATTCTATGAGTTAGGAGGCAGGGCTGTCATTTTCATTCCCTGCAGCAGAGACCATGTACATCCCAGAATCTCTTGCTCCAGATTGCAGAAGTCAGCTATGAAACCTGAAGCCAAGCACCAGCTAAGGCCTGGAGCCATCCTAAACTCTACTCAGCCAAAAGGAAAAGTTTCTAGCCTTCAAACAAAGGGATGAGCACTTCAGCTCATTTTCCAGCCCACTTTCCAAAACAGCCTCTATGCAGGATTCCTTTGTTACATCGATTTAGTTCATTGACTTTTTTTTCTGCAGGATGTTTATGTACACATTTATCTGACATTCTCTGTTCCTTTGTCTGTTTGCATCTCTTATAATTTACCCTCCACCTATAGCATGTTTATGTTGGCTCGTTCTTTCCTGAACCTGTGAACTGTAATATCCCAGCGGCCAGCAGGCTGCTTCTTGCATTAGTCATGAGTACTAGAGGAAAACACGTAATCATGCTTCTTTTTAGTGTGCTCCTCCAATACCCAGCCCTGGGAAGACCAGTCTCCTGAGGACAGTGGCATCTGATATTGATGTACAGACCTGGCTGTCAATGGAGACACTGGGTACTAAGGGTATCGGGCCCAGCTTTGAGACGAGTGGTGTTCCCATGCTAGTGAGATGTGAGGAACAGAGGTATCCCCTGCTTACAGACCACAACTATACAAGCAGAGGTTCTATTTTTCAGGGTGACTCAGACAGATGTGTGTTTGCTGCCTGCAGTGTTTGCTATTAGTTACAGCCCTACCTGAGCTGATTTGCAGGCTCACAGGTACGCCGCTGTCACTGATTTCAACCAGAGCACTTACGTTGGTGACTGTAATTCAGAGCACTCCCTGCCAATCCCATAAAGATGCAAGCAGGCAAGCATGCCCACCGAAGTCTATCTAAGGGTTTGCATGCTCAGAGCACTAAACACACCCATGGGTCAGTGCAGAACAAAGAATCCTGAGCTGAAATAATTGCAGCTGCACTCAGCGCTCAAACTTTGCACCCACACAGCACAAAGCACATGGAGAAGAGATGGAAAACAGGAGTGAGATGCCTTTGTATTTACTATCAAATTACAACTGCCTCAAGATAAATTGGTCTTTCTAGCTTGCTCTCTTGATGATACTGCTCAAGTACTCACCCAGGGCAGCTGCTGTGCAGTGTGCAATCATGAAGCCAGAATTCAGACCGCCTTCAGTGACTAAAAATGCAGGCAGTTCGCTGAGTGAGGGGTTGCAGAGCCTCTCAATTCTTCTTTCACTAATTGCAGCAAGTTCGTGCACACCAATTGCCAAATAGTCCAGAGCCTATAAAAGAAAATTTAATTAAACCAGCTGAAAGAAAAAAAAAACAAAATAAAACCAAACCAGAAACTAAAACCTTCTCTTTCTCCAATTGCTTAATTACCTTTGCAGGATATTCACCATGAAAATTTCCTCCAGAAATAGTCTCTGCTCTTTCAGCAAACACCATCTTTAAGGAGAAGTTAAGGCACAAACATGAGTGGAATACAGTTTACATGACAGATATCTGTCAGTAGTCAAAATATCTTAACTGAAGGAATATTTGTGCTAATAGGCTTTTATCTGCAAGCACATTATATTGCATCCACATATTTACTTTTCAGGAAATGAAGACCCAATCTCAGTGCTTCAAACTTGTAGATACAGTTTTGACCTGTATTTTTCCAAATAGACTACATAAAATGAGGTTTTTGTTCAGGGGTGGGGAGGTGTACAAAGAAACACGTGTTCAGATTCTGGCATAATTTCTCAGTTCCTTGGTAGATCCTCTCTATGGCAGATATAATTTTTGACAGGTTACAAGTAGTAAATGCTTATCAGCTATTGATATGGTGTTATGTATAGCATTCATGATACTGCTGAGGGGAATCCAGCCTTGCTCAGTGCCAGTGCAAGAACTGTGCACAGAGTTTACCAGGCTGAGCCACGATGAGGCTTACCAGCCACATGTCTTTGTCCACCTGCCATGACTGAGAGCAAATCTTGCTCTATAGTGCAGGTTTCACTCATGCTGCACCAACAGACGATTCCTACAACAAGCCACTATCCATTTACGCCTATTTGGCTGCCAAGTCCCAGCTATTTACATATTCAATGTAAGCGTATTAGAATCTCATCTAGGAAACATTTAACATGCACTAAACCATACGCACACATGGGTTTCCTTGACCCAGCACACATTTGCATGCACCAGTGCAGACATGGGGAAAGGAAGAGACGTTGCTGTTGCAACCAATGGTAGTTATTGACTAAAGCCAGTTATGACTTTTTTGCATCCTATGCAAACAATTATATAGAAGAAAAGGATAAAAAAGGCCAAGCAAAATTTTACGTAGAAATAAAGTCATCAAAAAGATACAGGGTTGTCTGTGGCACTGTTGATTTCAGTCGTCATTATGTCCTTCACAAAAGCAATTGTATCATTTACAACTCCGTGGACCTACAACAAAAGACATCAGAACCTGGACTTAATATCTACACTTAGTTAATCTTCAGGATGCTGACTGAACTACAGGCATCCTCTTTCCCATCATCCTGGTCTCTACATCCACACATGAAGATGGTCTTGGATTTGCTCTTAAAATCAGGAGCATCACTGGGGTACAATGCCCATCCTTGATACTTGAAAGATTATATTTACTATTATTTTGTCAGTATTGCTAAAAGGGTAATCCAAATACATCATTCTTCACTTGTTTGGGTTGCTTCACTCTAAATGGAAGATATGATACTATTCAGTGGCAGAAGTGTTATTAGGGGAGAAGTAGCCTTACAAAGGCCCCACAGAAAACAAAACTTCTCATTAATTAATTGACTTCCATTAATTCCACTGATTTAATAGCTTTGCTCATGTTAAAACTCATGGGATTTAGTTCTTCCAGTATGTTTGAGATACTACACTCTGGATGCTTCTGGAAACACCTTTGCCCAGTTCATGGTCTTAGTATCAATGGAGAAGAAATGCCCTGCAAGTGCAGAAACCAGCACCTTCCCCCTGCTTCTGGCACTTGGCCTTTTCCAGATCTGAATACAGGCTTGTCAGATGCTGCCTGATGCTCGCATATGTGGGATCATTGAACTACATGTCTCCATTAATACTACCTTTGAAGTGAGGGAGAAGCAAAATAAAACTGCTTCTTCTAATGTAGTCAGACAGCACATCATTGACAGTATTTCTGAGGTGAGTACTTCACCATCGTTTACCTAGTGCTATGAAAGGAAGCAAAAGTCAGTTTTTACCTGAGGGCAGCAGCGCATTGTGTACGCATCCTGAACTCTGTCACAGAATCTATGGCTCTCTAGAAGCAACAAGGGAGAAAAAATCAAATATTCCTCACACAAAAGTGTATGGGCTACTGTTGAAGGAACCAGCCTGTCCTGGTAACCTCAGAGGGTGAAGGTTGAGACTGTTCACCTGCTATTTCTGACGGATGATGGTCAGAATCTAGAAGGGACCTGAATCGAAATGCCACTTCAGCCTGCCCTCGATGTGGGCGCACTGCGTGGATATCTAGTAAAACAAGTCAGACCTTTAGGTTTTGCCTCTCTTGCCAACAGCTGTCAAACAGGAAAGGCCCAGTACCCACCTGTGTCAAAGGCCCTTGTTGTACCCTTCAAGACTTCAAGTGTAAGGGCAGCAATTATGTCAGCTTGTCTAGCTATAGCACTGGCTCTTTCAACTGCTTCACATCCCAGCGAGGTGATCATTTGTGTCCCATTGATGAGAGCCAGACCCTTCAAAGAGAGAGCAGATGTTAAGCAAATTCACTGCAGCTATTCATCGCTGTGATAATTCTCCATCTCTCTGATAATTCTCCTTCTCATAGGAATGAGTTAAAAGACCTTTGCTCAGCTTCCTGGATTGTCCTGAAATCATAAAATGCACAGCTTGACTGTGCATCTTTGATACATAAATCGTCAATGTTCATGACCCTACTAATTCACTATAGACACCCTTGGAGCTCCGGTAGTTCTAAGCAAGAGGTTTATTTCATGTTATTTCAAGCTTAAGCAAGAAAAGCACAGGAAATATGGATTCTTTTCCAGTCCTTTGGAGTGGAATGCAAGCTTTAAGTATTCTTAAATATTAGTTAAACCAAAGAAGATGTGAGCATGGGGAGTGGAGTAAAACCCAGTCATAATGAGGAAATGGAGAAGTAAAACAGCATTAGAAATTACAACTGCTTTAAAAGATGTGTTGAGTTCAGTTAAAACTAGCTTCAGAAAAGCCTCCCATTTGCCTCTAGGAGACACTGGATTTGGCTTCTTGTTCCTGGTGCTATTCCGCAGCTACTGAGACCCCTTTATCAGAGAGCTCCACAGCCCGCAAATCTTTTGTGTTCCCACATAAACTTTAATACTTAGAGTGAGATTCATCTCACCTAGTTTTAGTGACCTAGAAGTCAGATACTTGGTTCAAGTCAGTCATCTGAGCTCCTGTTATGGTCAAAGGGCAGACAGGTGCCCTGGGAGGGCTTCTTAGACAGCTGTTTCAGGATGATATAAAGTGTTTTCTGGAGATGTCTGTCTCTTTCCACTGACCACACAGCCAATTTAAACATCAAGCTTGGGTCTGATATTTCAAGTCAAGTAGGGTGGCACTAGGAGAGGTGAATTCCACTCCTGATAATACTGCATTAATATCCCTCTGGAGCTTGATTTAAAAGAACTGTTAATTTATTTCATGCTTAAATTTTAAGTATAAAACAACTAATGATTTACTATGCTTGTTTTCCATCAACTGGCATCATTATACTTTATTACCTCTTTTGGTTTCAAGGTAATAGGTCTCAGACCATGGGCTTCCAGGACCTGTGAAGGAGTTGAAGGACATGGTACTTAATAAAAAATATTTTCAGTAATTCAGTCACCAAAACTTTTAAATCTTAAATGTTTCAATAAATAAAAATGTTAAGAAATTCCTTAAGTGAAGGGAGAAAAAGAGCTTTATACCACAAACAGTTAAAATATATTTTTTTCTGCTGGGCTAAAAAAAGGTCAGCATTTTGGGACTTCCAAACTAGCACCTCATTTCCCAGTGCCAGTAAAAGAAGGTAGTAGGAGCATTGAAGGGAGATACTGTCATAGCCAATTAACATCTACCCTGTGTCAGCTGATGGGAGACAGTAATAGAGAGAAGGCTGGAAACACCTCAGGAAGGTAGTTCTGCCTACACCCTGCCTCACAGCAGGTTTGGCTTGGCATAAACTCTTCCTTGACATGTTTCCTCCCTAACCCTTTCTATAAAAAATCTTTAGTGATAGGAGTCATCCTACTACATTTATTCTATACTTGCCTATTCTTTAGGGCAATCACTTTTGCAGGAAAAGGAGGAACAATACAACCTTCATTCTGAATAGAGTTCTCTCAACCTTTCCAACTGAAGAGGTAGTACATCTCAGAGGTGTACAGCTGTAACTGCTGGTCCTGAGGGTCCAGGACACACTGTCCTGGCTTCCTCCCTACTCCTCTCCCTGTGTAGCTCTCAGTACTTATCCAGCCTACAGTGATGGTACAGCTATCAACCCATGAATAAATCTGGTGGTCAAATATTCCTGGATAGGAGTGATAGGTGTAGCAGAACATGAAAGACTTTGGAGCGGCCAGACTTGGAGGTATTTAACACTAGATCAATCTGCTGATATAGTAATAACAGAAAATCAATTAATTAAAAATTAATTCCATTGTAAAGCTTCCATCTTGTGAAGTAGTATACTATAAAGGTTCATTGTAACCCTAGTTAATTTGTCAAAAATGAAACGTCCAAACTTGTGTATTCACTTAAAGCCATTATAAATCTCCAGTTACTCTCAGCATTTGAAGTTTTGAATTTGAGAAGTGATCTTGGGTTTGTTGGAACAGTGTTGATGTTCATGGAGCTGAAGATGTAGTAATAGTTCTTTCATAGCTGATATCAAATCCTGTCCCTTTCTCCAGGTCTTAAATGATGTCACTGTGGTATTTTGTATTGCAATACTATGGCATGATATTTCTTTAGATTTAACAACATGCTGCATATTTATATCTGCTCCAGTGAGATAGGGGTCAGTTATTCCATTCTTGTGGATCTACCTTCCTCAAGGTAGAGGATGAGTTGCTAAAGACAACCTAGTCCCAATTCAAACTAGTACAAAAAAAATCCAGACTTTTTACATGTTAGTAATCTGAGCAAAAGCTCTCTCTCTCAAGGCTACATGCAATCTGTCAAATGAGACAGCAAGCAGAAAAAAAGCAATCAGCTGCACAAATCTTACATATTTGGCATCAGCCCAGCCACTCTTTGGGGACCACATCTTTCCCTCTCCAATTAATCCCAGAGCAAGATGAGAGAGAGGGGCCAAGTCTCCGCTGGCTCCGACTGTCCCTTTCTCTGGGATATAAGGAAGGCAGGACACTAGAAAGAAAACAAAACCAACCCCTGTTAGAGCTTCCCCTCGATACACTCCATGGAAAACAGAGAAGCCAGCACATGAGTGTGGTCACAGTAACATCCTGCAGTCATGATCAATGGCGCCAACAGGTCTACTCTCACTGCAGAGTGGGATTTGCCCCTGCTCGCAGGCTAGCTGCAGTTTATAAATAAATCAATCCCCTTCTGCATTTAGTTTTGGAGTGGGGGGACCACAGCCCAGGGTGATTGCATCTACAGCCGGCCAGGTAAAGCATCACTCCTCTCAGCTCTCCATCACAGGGTGACCACCTGGTGTGGACAAAGCTATCTCTTCATTTCTCACTCCACGAAACACTGGGTTACTCCTAGAAACCATCTTCAAGCCCTTTCCCCCTCATCCTAGTCTTCTGAGCACTTAAATGGGTGGAAAGGAAGAAACAGAGCCCAGGGAACTGCAGAAAAGGCAGGGGAGGGACCACTCTGTTTCTCTTCTTTTACAGAGCTCATCACTGAACTGCAGCTTCTTCACTCACTGTGGGAGGGGGAGGAGGAGGCTGTAAGAGAGGGCAGCACAAAGCCCATATTCTTTGGCCCTTGTGTATGTGAACATGGCTCTTTTCTCACACACATGGTCTATAGCCTCAGAACAATCTTCCAATCTATGTTTTAGAAAAAAAGAGAAGGGAAGTTGAACCTAACACTAACACAGAGAGAAGGTGCTCTTTGCTCAACACTGCCACACTGGCATGCCTCACCAGAGGGAGCATCAATGGACATCAGCTAACAAAGAGCACAGCCACCCCTTTGGTTTACCTGCCACAGCATCCAGCAAGGCCACCCAGCTTTAGCTGCTTTGACAGCTGTGGCCACACGAGCTGCTGACTAGCCACGCACTTCTGCTCAGTTGCCTTGTAGCCCTTGCTTACAAACACTTCTGTAGGACTTGGGGTCTACTCACAAAAACCAGATGCTGCTCAAGCAGGTGTGCTTGACAAACACCAACACATGCAGTTTTCTACATGGTAACAGCCACCCACAAAAAATCCTAGCATCCCTAGAGATGGTGGCATACGCATTGGCACACACCCAACAGAACAAATGTTAGAAACTTGAGCCTTTGTAGAAGAGCTTGCCCAGAGTCAGTCATGCTCTTAGTCAAGCTTAGTCTTGAACTAATTACCTGACCTCTCAGAGGCTCATTTCCCAAACTTCTGCCTGTTGCATCCCTTTCTCTCAGCCTTTCCTGTCACTTCTCATACCCCAAGTTCTTCAACAGAAGAATGATCTGCAGTTGTGAGCTTGTACAGCCAAGCTCTGATCCTGATCTCTCACAACTACCAAGTTGAAAGACCAGCATCTATAGTCTGACCGTTGTGCTACACCCTTAAACAGCTAAAAGAAAAGAAAAAAAAAAAAGAGAGAAAGGAGAATTTTCTTTAAACATCTTTTTACCATTAAATGCTTCAATAACTTGCTGGAGTGTTTCTAGGGATATTCCACTGTATCCTTTTGCTAGGACATTGACTCTTAGTGCCAACAGCATGCGAGATCTCTCTGGGGTCAAAGGTTTCCCCACACCTGAAACAGTAATCCTCTTGGTTACTAACACACTACCAACAGCTGCAGAAAAGGGAAACATAATGCAATGTCTCATTACCTGCAGAATGCGAACGGACCAAGTTCACTTGGAGCTCTCTATGGAAAAAAAACCCACATATGTAAAAACCCAAATAGGTCCTGTCAGGTTTTATTTTCCACAAAACAGAGGGAAATACTGAAGCAGCCCTCTCATCTAACCAGAGGGTACAAATGTACAGGGTTGAACTGCTCCTTCTTCTTCCTTTCCTGAAAAGAAAGGATGGAGAAAGCTGCACACACAACTTACCTCAGCTTACTGTTTGGGATGACAGTCCTGGCAAACTTCCCAAACCCAGTGGTGATTCCATAAACAACTGCAAGAAACATACACTGCTGGTTAAGGAGGGAACCCAATGATGTTTTCCAAACAATTAATAGTTAGAGATAAAAATATTTACCTGTCTGTTCCTTTACAATCCTTTCAATCACTTCTCGTGATTGTTTGACTTTAGCTTCAGCTTCAGGTGTGAGCTAAAACACGAGTAGTTTAAATATTAGTTTATCTGTTGTTATTTAGTTTTAATTGTAGAAAGATAAACATGTAATTTTCAGCTGTGTTTGTTCAGAATCTTTACCTTTATCTTGTAGAGCCCCTTTCCTAAATTGACCAAGTCCTCCGTTGTTAGGCTGTTTCCATCTAAAGAAATATACTACACCAAAGAACCACCTTTTAGTTCGGGATACATATATGCATGAAGTTGCTTAATAAACAGAATTTTAAAAACAAAAAACCAGTCAAAACTCAGCAATGACAGGAAGCTCACTCTCACTCCTTTGTACGACAGGAACTCACTAACAATAAATAAGCACATTATATTGGATTCCTAGCCCCAGCCAATCTAACAGCCCCTGCTCTTGAGAATGCTGGAGCAGCTCAACTCTCAGCACGTTCTGGTAAAGAGCAGAATGTGTTACCGGCTTGTAAAATTGTTGGCAATTCCTACCTGTTCTGGCTCTCGGTATTTGCTGTATCTGAAAGTTCTGTAAAGGAAAATAAAGGGCAAACAGACTTTCACAGGTAGTGACCATTCAATTACAGCTGGCAAGGTGTTTTAAGAATTAAGGAACTCTAAAAGAACAGGGAAATCTAGAAAATTATAAATCTGGAATTATAAAGCTCACAAAATGCTTTAAAAAGGATACAAATGAACTCCTTCTGGCTGAGATGGTATGAAATCTGGAGACATTATATCTCCTTCTATAACTAGAAGAAATACGCAAATAAACATGAACAAGATTAAATTGTATTCTACATATAAATGAATTTGTTATTTGTTGCAACACACACCAGTGAGAATTCTAATTTGCAGTTATCAGCCCTAAATATATTTATATGCTTCTAGGAAAATAACAAGGGACTATGTAGTTTATTTCAGGTACTCCAAAGGTAAAAGGGCTGCCCAACCCTTAGACACATATTCCATGTCCCATACAATCTTTACCTTTATCTTTTAGAGCCCCTTTCTATGTATGTAGATAGCATGTATGATATCATACACAAATGATGTATATAGACTCCTGTAGCTTCTATACTTTATATAGTTCTATACTTACAAACTAAGGGTGCATTTTGCTATTTTTTCAGAAAAATCTTAGATACTATGTCAGATGCAATTTTAGATAAACTAAGTGACAGCTTGCTGACTCAGATGGCAAGGCAGTCACGCTACGACGTGCCGCTTAAGGTTTTGCTTACCAACTTCAACAAATTCATTATCCTCCAGAGCATCCTCTACTGTATCATCAAGATCCAGCAAGCCAAGTCCCTTGCACCTTCGAACATAAAATTTTACTTCTTCCACAGAGGCAAATCCCCCGTTGTCGGGTTTGTTTTTCATGTAGCGTTTCACAGCTTCCTTTCCCAGCCACCTGATTGTGTTCCTGCAGTTTAGGCATGGCACTGCCAGCCATTCTCCTCGGACGTGCACCGTGTATCTCGGCATGCTTTCTCTCCAAAGCTGGCCCTTGACCCAGAAGGGCTGCAGCGTGTGGCAGCCTTACGTTGACCACACGACAGCCTGAAGAGCAGTGCCTAGCTGGAGTCCAGTGTTGCAATCAGATAGAGGCAAAAATCCACCCCCAAAATCACCACCTTTGTAAATAAGCGAGATCGATGTATCCAGCTGACTTCATCCAATCAAAGCAAGGCCAAGAAGCACACCCTTTTCATGGAAAGGCAAACCCCTCCCCACCATTACCAAAGGATTTTTTTTCCAAAGATGGCATCAGGAATATAGAAATGAAAATCTAGGTGCTGGAGTTTATGTAGCAAGAATAGATAAATCACAATAAACTAGAATACAACTGTTCTAAACCACTAAGGGTTTCACAGAAGTTAATGGCGCTGTCACCTGGCAGTAGATCACACTAATGAAAACCTCTGTGAGGGACAGGGCTGGAAGAGAGTCACCGCCCTGTTATGGATTGGTCATAGCTGCTAGGATTGAAAGGAGGTGGGATTATATGATTAGCACAGGCAGTGAAGGAAGCAAGCCTGTTTGCTCAGTCCTGTGCTGAAATTAGAGAACATAATTTTGTATTGTAGGTGAGGAAAATATTAATGAATTTCCATTACCCTTTCACTTATGTTCTGGAAGATGTTGATAGAACAGGTAGCACAAATATTAGGCCACACCTGCCCACTGCCCAGACCAGTGCTGCTGTATCATGCTTCTTTGAAGGCAAATGCAAAGAAGAAAAGATACAGAGAAATATTCAGCTGGCTGTTGACCAACACCCCAAGTTCTTTTCTGCTGGGCAGCTCTCCAGCCACTCTTCCCCAGGCCTGTACTGTTGTGACCCAAGCGCGGGACCCACTTGGCCTTGTTGAACCTCATACAACTGGCCATGTTGACACAGAAGGTGAAAATAGCTTTGTCTTTAAAGACAAAACAATAAATACCACTGATAGTCCATGCTACCCACAGTGGTGTTCCCAGACAAAGGGACTACTATAAAGAGCACTTACCTGGGGTGAACTATTGTGGGGGATTTTAACTTGAGATCCATTGGTGGGAGTCTGTGTGGGGGACGTTGCCCCAGCAGAGCAGGACAACACTAGCAAATGCCATGCCTGCAACTATTTTTTTTTCCTAGCTCTGACAGCAAGAAATCAGGATTGAACTCCAGCTGCCAAATCGCTACGTGACATGTGGGCTTTTATGACAAAATGTTGCCCAAAACATAAAATATTTCTAAAACAACACCAGAGAGACCCCCTCCTCCTACCAGAGCCTTGCACGAGAGAAGCCCCGCTCATTCAGGTGATGCTGTAGTAGAAGCCTAAATCAGATTTTGGGAGTGAATGAAAGGAATTGCATAAATTTGTAATCTGAAATACAGAAACATTATTTTCAAGGAGTTTTCCAGCAGAAGTTATCACTTACTCAGAGGAGTAGCAAGAAGAGAAGAGACTCGTTAGGTCCTTAACACAAGAAGTCTGCAAATTCTTTACGCACAAGCAGATTACATTCTTTTGGTTCCAAAAAATCAAGTATTTTATTGTGTTTATTAAAAGCTGAGTGGCACAACATTCATAGAAAAAATTTAAACTGATTTTTGAGCTTCAGTCACCTAGGAATTAATTTCTTCTATCATTTTTATTTAACCTACTTAGACTGATGTAGGTTAAAGTTGAATGGAAGAACTCAGGGTGCCTTGAATCAATAAAATCCAACAGGTTGTGTTCATGCCTTAATTTATATTAGAGCTGCTAGCATGAAAAGATGAATGTCCTGATAAAGTACCTAACTTCATCTGCTTGAAAGCTTATACTGATCATAGTTCAGATGAGAAATAAATTGATAGGCTCTCCACTCCCACTCTATGTGCTATTATTAAACCAAGCCTTATGCCATGACTTGTATTTGGTATCTTCCTCCTCTAACAGAGCACTTTTATTTTTCTTTGTTTACTCCTGCATATGGGGTTATCTCTACGTCAACAGATTTAATTTATGCTAACTGATTGATAAGCAGTTTTTCTCAAACTCACTTCAAAAACCCACCTGCAGATGGCCGTATTTGCAACAGTTTCACCTAAACCATCAGCTTGCACTGAAGTGCTGCAGCAACCACAGGAAAGACAGCCGAAAATAACTAAGTAAAACCATGGTATTGTGATTGGCGTCAGGAACGGACTGACGCAACAACGCCATGACAAATACAGCTGGACAGAAATCCTGCTCTAACCCGAGAATGCTGCGGGCCATTTAGGTCTTCATAGTCCTCTTGCACTCGTAACAAAAATTTCTCCCACAAAAAAGAAGAGTAAATAAAACTGTTACTTCAAAACTTTTCGTACAGATCAATACACAGACAGGTAGACAATGAAAAGTTTTATTTTTTAGTCTTCAGATACTTGAAGTTTCAACCACATTGCTATGAAAAAGAAAGCGGTGCACAAAAAGCCATACCATCCACCCATTAATTTTCCATGTTTTTAAATTCCATGACTGACAAATTATTGTATCTCAGAACAGCTTTTTTGTGTGTTCTAAAAATTGCTTGTAACAAAACAATGCTCCTAATTCCAGAGATTTAGCAATTTTGCTGTTTTACTTAGAGGTGTAAAACAGAAAGTACGGAACGTGATTTGGAAAGTTAATTTTAGGCTAAATCAGTACCAAAGCAGTAGAGCATTTTATGGCATGATCAAGCACGCATATCAGCAGTTTGTGGAATCAGTCTCTTCCTTCAGCAAGAAGAAAGTTTCAAAGAAATCAGTAAATTTCTCACTGGTCCTGTTTCAAGTCTTTGCCCACAAGCATTGAAGTGACTGGGTGCATAGAGGCTCTATGCTCCAGAAACGTTTTGACAGCCAGATCTCGACACTTGTCAAAACTGTAAAGGTCTCTGTAAAAGAGAAAAAAAAAAGAAAAAAAAGCAGTTACAAAAAGGGGAAAGCGAGTCTGAAGAGAAGCTTGTTCACAGTATACAGAAGATTCTGTATTGTATCACTTTGAAGCATAACATAAATGTACAATGTCAAATATTATACATGCCATTATACTAAAAAAGGACAACAGCATGAGCTCCTCCAATTTGGACATTACTTTTACCTGAACAAGGGTCGAGTAAACTTCATCCTGCCCTGATCTGTTGCCATTTTTAAAGCCAGAGGAATAGCTTCTTCCCACCTGGACTTGATGCACAGGCGCAGCCATCTGAAAAAGAAGTGGGGGGGGGAGGGGGGGTGAAGGAAGAATAAAACTTACACTTTTATTTTCATTTGCTGTGCTTAGTCATCTTATGATTTTGTTCCCATAAACACTCTGGGCAGTGCTGTGTCATCATAGGAATGAGATTCTAGCTAAGTTCAACATAAAATATTTAGTGTCCAACTAGTATGTTACAAAAGTGGACTTTTCTATAAAATAGGAAAAAAATTAAGAGTTTCTCCAAAATGGTCTGATTATTTTCTGCAGCTATGTATTTATTTTGTATTACAGCAGTGCCCAGTTGCATCACTCAGAATTAGAGGTGAATTATATAGCACTTGTCACATTTGACCATGTGATTTAAAAAACAAAACAACAAAAAAAACCCCCAAAACCTCTTTTGTTTTAAAAATAAGAAGAAATTGATCTTGTTATAAGAAGTAGTCACTATACTGTTTAAAATATTTTGTTCTGTTAATAAGAAATGAAGAACTCTAAGTAAGTTGAGGGGCAGAGTAACTGTCACTATTGCAAATGTATCAAAGTACATTACAGTAGCAAAATATGCATTACTTGAAGGTATTTGTACAGATTACTTATGTCCTTAACAATACCTTTTTCTAAGAAGTGATGTGTAAATACAAACCAGAAGAAATTGGAAGGGCACTAGAATCAGGCCGTTTAGCTAGAAGCATTTCCTACTTGTTTAGAAACTTCCTCTGATACTCACTTTTTTTTTGATGAGAGAAAAGCTTTGTGACAGCAAACATAAAATATGACAAAAAAAAGTTTCCAGATTGTGCTAAAAAAACACTGGCACTTCAGCAGAAGAACTGATTAGGTAGAAGACCTGTCCCTGACTAAGTTTTTTTGAAACATTTTTCAAGCATGTTTGAGTCAGAGAGGCTCGCTATTGTATTATCCAATACTGTCCCCAAACTAGGGGGGATTTGAGTTATCAGATCATCACGTTCCTTTGCCAGCATGACAGATTAAAATGAAGCACAGCTAATCCACTGCACTATTGTATTATCCAATACTGTCCCCAAACTAAAAGTTATCAGATCATCAGGTTCCTTTGCCAGCATGACAGATTAAAACGAAGCACAGCTAATCCACTGCTCACTTCCAGTTCTTCTACGAGACTGTACTTACCCAATTTGAAAGTAACAGAATACCACTCCAGTAAGCGTTCTTGCACATGCACTTACAAAAAAACCCCTAAAACAGCAATATAAAAGCCCCAAACCCTGCACCAGTTCTATACAACAGTATTTCTCAGACCACTTGTGAAGCAGGACAGTTTATCTCATGAAAGCATTTAAGATTAGAAAAATGCCCATACTAGAACAAACCTGAATCTTATTTCAGAATTATGGATGGCATTGAAGTCATACACTTGCTGCATTCGTTGGACATGTGACACTGGAAGAGGAGCCTGAAAATAGAAACTGCATAGTCTGAATAAGCCAGAGGCACACTTCAAGCCACATACTTCAGCAATAAACAGGTTCATTTCAAGAAGACTGATGCTTCAAAGGAATTAAAAACTTACCATGATAAATATTTGTATTTGCTCCTTTCACCTCTCACAGTATTAGGGAAGGAGCAAGGAATAAATGTTAGCAAATTCCCACATCCAGTACGACCAAAACATTAAAAACAAAATCTTTTCCTTCTGTTTTATTCATGGCTTATTTTGCTATAACATCAAATACAGACAAATTCAAGCACCTTATAGTTTTGTTTTTACCTTTCAATCCAAAATACTCTATATGTTAATTGTTAGCTGACGTAATCAGGGAGGCACAACTGAAGGTTTTAGTAACTATGTATGGTGAGAGTGGATTATTTTAGCAAAACTTTAAAGAAAATGGACATAAATTAATTCCAAAGTACACTGGGGCTTCTATGCCTGCTTTTGTGATACCAGAATCAAGTTACCCCCAGCATGCATTTACCTCCAGAAGCAACAGTGCCAGGAACTCAATCAACTGATGAGATGACATTTCCTTCAAGTCTGCTGAGCTGAATGAGCCCAAATCACTCTCCTTTGCCTAAAAGAGAATGGTTACTTCAGTTTTTAAGAGGTATTTCAAAGCACAATCAGGTGTAACTTTTTGTTCGGACATCTGTATTTGCTATCAAGCCACTCCACATGAAAGAGATACTGATTTGTATTTGTGCAGGTTGTTACAAGAAGGGGAAAGGAGGAACTTAAGCTACTGCCTGATGTTTGGTATTCACTTCAATTTTCACTTGTTTTCTTTCCAGTGACCTTCCTATCTCCACTGTCTTTCTGTTAAAGCTAAGTGAAAAATCAACTACTTTTTCTATAAAAAGTAACATTGAGGAGAAGAAAGTTAAAGATAACATAAAAGTACAGTGAAAAGCCACAGAGCTAACAAAAGGAAGGTATGCTGAATTCTCAAATACTTGTATGAGTTTTATGGTTAAAATTATGAGATAATTGTATGGTATTAATTACTTATTATGATTTATGTATTTCAGTTTTTGAAGAGAAATGCACACTAGAGCCAGTATAATGTACAGGAATTATTGCTAATACAACATAATCAGTAACCTAGAGATACTTTGGCATTTGTTTTTAAATCAAACCATAATATCAGGATTTCAAAAAGAATATTCTCAGTTTGGTTACTACGTAGATACAACAAAAAGGTGGCTCTGTGTGTGTGCCTCGTTAACACATGTACTGCACTTCACATACAGAAGTCAAATCCACAGACACTATGATGAAAGGCTAGTCTACGAAATACAAAATCCCTGGCAGCCATACTATCACCATAAATACATTCTCTCTCAGCAAATTACAGATTTCAGAAAAGAATGGCTCACTTTGTATAAAGAAAACTATCTTTTCAAGATACAGTGTTCTTTAACCACTCACTTTGATCCATCTTTGGCTCAAGGCAACGCAAGCATTCGCTAGTGTCTCATCATACCTGTCAAATATTAAAAACAAAGGATCACACTTTGGAAACACAAAAAGCTACTGTAATATTTTTAAAAGAATGCTTAGAGATGATTTTCAAATGGCTCCACATTTGCTTGTTATAGGCTCCAACTCAATATTGCAACACAATTTACAAAAGATCTATTATAATGAAATATATTTCAGTTGGAAGCACTTTGTGCATAGGTGACACTATCCTTTGATCCCACGCACACCTAAAACGATCAATACTTCTGAGCATATGTGGTCATACATCTATTATAGCTTTTAGCTGAAAAAAGAATATTGTTGTAACAAACTGCCAGAAAAAAATAATCTTTCCTGGCAACTTTCAAAGCAAAATTAAGTTCCATCAGAATAAAAATTTGAAAATATTAGCAGCATTTTTTCTTCCACGTATATTAATTTCTACATAGTACTAGGACATTTTCCAATAAAATGTTTGTGGAAAGACTTTCACAATATTTACAAACTGCTTCATGACTGTTTGGAAAGTCATATGCAATCTGGAAAAGGAAAAGATGAACTATAGAAGAATGCAGCTTACATAGGCTTCACTGG